AAAAAAAAAAAAAGAATCTAATAAAAATTTCTGATTGTTAAAGAAACAACAATTACTGTTTTCTCGTTTTGTCTGCAAACATTTAAAAATTTAAAGACCAAATAAAAAATAAATTATATTTAAAAAAAAAAAAAGAAAGAAAGAAAGAATTAATTTGCTTAAAAAACAAAAAAAAACCAACTGTTAATTAAATAGGTTGGTTTTCTTTGTGCAGAATCGTTCAATGCTTTTAGTACAGTTTTTAGACTAAAGGCTAACTGCAATAGTGGGGAAACAAAAAAAAAAAAAAAAAGGAATTCTTCTATCTAATTTGATACATCTTATTTTTTACTTAATATATCTTTAATCAGATTCAGTTTTTTTCATTTTCTTTTTCTTTTTTTTTGCTTCAGATACACAGTTTAATCTTAGTTTTAAATTCAATTTTTAAACTGATACAACTGCGGATGTCTGTTATTAATTGCTAAATTATTCCAATTGTGCTGCTGCTTGCTTTATCAATTAAAATATTTTATTGGCTAAGAATACAGGAAGGAAAAAGTTGTTTCTATATATAAAAATTTCCTGTCTATTTCCTTTTTTTTTTATTCCTTCTTTTGCTTAACTTTGTTCTTCTCTTTTTTTTCTTTCTTGTTTTTGTGTTTGGAGCAAATTCCTTAGTATAGTGCGGAAAAATTGCTTGTAAGAAGCTGAAAAATTTGCAAAAAAATACTCGACTGCTTTTTCAAAACGTAAATTTGCCGTCTCCTTTACACGGTTATATTAATCAGTTGCCTTTTCGTTATTTTTCTAAATTCTGTTTTGCTAGAAGGCTTTCTTTTTTTTTTTTTTGTGACAACAGAAGAAAGGGAAACGGAAGTAAGAAATCTCAATGATTAAACACCTTCTATAGTTGTTTTTTTTTTTTTGGTTTGGTTTGTACAATTAATCGTCTTACAAATTGTTTTACCATCAGAAGATTAACAGCAGCTTTGTGGTCAGTTTTTCTCTCTCAGCAAATATTTTCTGCTTAATCAGCTAGATTATAAATTTAAGCTGGCTTATTAATGCTTTCAACAGACCACAGGTTATCACTGTTGTACTGTTTTGTAAAAATTTCGGACATTTGTAAACAATTAATGACTGCTTTTTTTCTCTAATTTTTTATTAAAATCGTTGTGTTTTAAAATTTTAAAACATTTCTAAAAAAAAATTCAAAATAATGTTCTTCAGTGAATTAAAGTGTAATCTATACTTTTAAAATTTTAATACCGCGATTAAACTTCAAAAAAAATGACATCAAATGTTTGCTTAAATGTTTGCTACAAATATGTCTATGCTTAAAAAATTGTTGAATTTCAATGCTTTCAAAATATTCCGAGCATTGTTACACAAATGGTGCTGTAACAGGAAAATTGATACATAGATTTGTAAAGTCAACTGCATATTTTCAGTGTATTCGGCTAATTCAATTAGCGTTTAGAATTTAATTCTGTCCTTACAACAACAGTTCAACTACAGTTTTGCTTTTTGTTCAAAATGTTTTCAAGTTGATTTTTTTGAACAAAGCATCTTAGTAACCCAAACATCGTCTGAACACTTAACAAGAGAATAAAAGGGGAGAGTGTTGCAACATAGGCCTAAAAATATGGTTTTTTAAAGCTTTTAAGAAAAAGATTTCTTTCTATTTTGTTTCAAACAGAAATAATTTGCAAATTTGCATAACTAATATTGCACAATAGTTTTTATCAAGTATATGGACAACTGCCTACTGCTCTTTAATCAAGTTGCACAGTCGTAGATAATTGTTGTTTACCGGAAGTTTGAGTTGAGGAGATGGAGAAGAAAAGCTACAAAAGTTCTGTTGCCTAAAGTTGTCTATTGACCAACAACATCTTTGAACTGGTTAATTGTAGTGGTACCAAACTCTTTTTGTATATTGTTTTACAATGGTGTAAATGAGGGGATAAAACAGTGATTTTGTCGTCTTAACAACATATTTTTTTGTTACAGTTTGTTTATCGCATTTGTTTATTTCATCAACAGTTTTACAGCGTTTATAATAGGTGAAAAATGGAAAGTAAAATACTTGCTTTTCAGTTATAAATCTTTTTTTTTTCGCTTGCATTTTTCTGTCTTTTTTTTTTTTCAAACTATTTTCTCTCAAACAAAGCATTCACAAAAAAAAAGAATAAACGTTAAAAATACAGACTTTATAATCTTAATTGTTCATCATATGCTGCAAATTCGCGTTTGCT